TGCTTGAGGCCTTGGGGTCTGGGAACGGGGTCTCGAGGGGGGTGATAAAGGGGGTGGGGGGGCAGAGAGGGGCTGGGGGAGGGGGGGGAGGTGGTAGTGAGGAACTCGCAGCCACCCCCCCCGGCCCCACTGCAGGCCTGAAGATGGTGAAGCTGTTCATCGGGAACCTGCCGCGGGAGGCGACGGAGCAGGAGATCCGCTCGCTGTTCGAGCAGTACGGCAAGGTGCTGGAGTGCGACATCATCAAGAACTACGGCTTCGTGCACATCGAGGACAAGACGGCGGCCGAGGACGCCATCCGCAACCTGCACCACCACAAGCTGCACGGCGTCTGCATCAACGTGGAGGCCAGCAAGAACAAGAGCAAGGCCTCCACCAAGCTGCACGTGGGCAACATCAGCCCCACCTGCACCAACCTGGAGCTGCGCGCCAAGTTCGAGGAGTACGGCCCCGTCATCGAGTGCGACATCGTCAAGGACTACGCCTTCGTGCACATGGAGCGGGCGGAGGACGCGGTGGAGGCCATCCGAGGGCTGGACAACACCGAGTTCCAAGGTGACACCGCGTGGCACGGGGACGGGATGGCGATGGGGAGATGGAGGTCGGCCGCGGCCCGGCGGTGCCGTACGGCTCCTTTTGGTGAGGCCGGAGCCGGCCCCGCAGCTCGCGGGGAGAACGCTCCGTGGGGACAGCCAGCTCTTCCCCGTCTGAGCCACGTTGGGTCGCTGGGGTCCGTTGCGTCATCCCGAGATGCCGCCATCTTGTCGCGGTGTTGCCAACCCCCAGTCGGGGTGTTGGTGACGCCGGCACTTCCCTTCGTCCCCTTGGTGTGTCCTCCAAGCTCGTCCTCACGGCGGTCCCGCTCACGGAGGGTTAGGCTCCGGGGTCTTGGGTAGGTTGGGGGATCCATCTGAAGGACCCAACGTGGCAGCGGGGCTCATGCCAGCCCCACAGCTTGCCGAGTGGATGAGCGGAGTCGGTGCCGAGCCGTTTCCTCCGCACTGAAAGTGAGCACATCTCCATGGGGCTGTGCCGGCGCCCGTTGGGTCGCTGGGGACGCGTCCGTTGCGTCATCCCGAAATGCCGCCATCTTGTCGCGGTGTTACCAATCCCCGGTTGGGGCGTTGGTGACCCCGGTGCTTCCAGTTGGGCTGCCCCCAACGCGCCTCCTTGCCACCGCCTGCCTGCCCACGTCGGCTGTCAGCACAGCTCTACCTCACCGCAGCCCGTTGTCCAATTGCGGGGCGTCCCCAGTGCTCTTCTTCACCACAAGTCATCACCCATCTTGGGGGTGTCCTCAAAGCTCTCCTTCTCCACCTGGCACCCGATTTTGGGTGTCCCCAGAGCTGTTCTTCTCTGTGACCCATCCTCTCCATTTTGGGCATCCCCGATGCTCTTCACCGCTCCTCGCCACCCAATCCCTGGTGTCCCCAGCGCAGCTCTCCCTCGCACTCGGTCCCTCTGCTCATCCCCATGCTGAAACTCCTCTCCAAAGCGGCGCGGTCTGTGCAGGATCCGGCGTCAGACTCTCCCCGGCACACAGCTGGGGCCGTGTCCCCTCCCGAAGGGCTCTCGTCCCCTGGGTGCCACCGTGTGACGCGGCAGGACCCGCTCGTGCGCGGCCCCGTTGGGCGGCATCGCTGGGTGGCTCTCAGTGCAGTGCTGACTTTGCCGTGGCGGTGAGCTCGCTGCCAACGGGTTGGCACGCTGGTTTGGGGCAGAACACTGCTTTTCTGCGGCTTTGGAGGCCGTGGGTTCGGCTGCAAGTCCCTCCAGGACAGGCGGGATGTGTCTCAGAGCCACCAAGTGCTCGGTGTCGCTGGCGTTGCCGGCACCGTGCTGGTAAGTCGGCGCGTGGCTCGGCGCCGAACGCAGCAGGGTGGATGCAGGAGGTCGGGGACTCTGCGATTCCCAGCGCTGTTTCGGTGGGGATCTGTCCAGTCGTGTCCCGATGTCTGCTTTACTGTGCATGTTTTTCTAACGAACCTCTTGGTGTGGCCTCAATTATAGCCTCCCTTTTGCGTCTGTTTCTTCAAGGCAAGCGGATGCGCGTGCAGTTGTCCACCAGTCGGCTCAGGACCGCGCCCGGGATGGGAGACAAGAGCGGCTGCTACCGGTGCGGGAAGGAAGGGCACTGGTCTAAAGAGTGTCCGGTAGATCGCCCGGGGCAAGTGGCTGACTTTACCGAGGCCTATAACGAGCAGTACGGAGCCGTGCGCACTCCCTACACCGCGGGCTATGGGGAGACCATGTATTACGATGACGCGTACGGCGGGATGGCCGACTACTACAAGCGCTACCGCGTCAGGTCCTATGCGACGGCCTCTGCGTACGACGCCTACGCAGAGCAGACCATGGCCCAGTACTCCCAGTACGCCCAGTACTCCCAGGTCCAGTCCACGGCCATGGCGGCCACCACGGCCATGGCCAGCCGCATCCCCACCACCTTAGACCCCTACGATAGAGCTCTGCTGCCCACCCCGGGCGTAGCGGCGGCCGCGGTGGCGGCTGCAGCCACGGCGGCAGCGGCGGCGGCCTCCTCCACCTATTACACCCGGGATAGAAGCCCCCTGCGCCGCACGGCAGCCGCGGCCACCACCGTCGGAGAGGCGTACACGTACGATCGTAGTCAGCTGTCGCCGGTCTCGTCGGTCGCTCGGGCTTCGCTCTACGACATGCAGCGGTTCGGGCGCGACCCGTACGCGGACAGGGCGCGGTACTCTGCCTTTTGAGCCGAGGTGAGCGTGTGTGGAGCTGCAGACCACCGGTGGTGCGCTGGGGTTGCGCGGGGTTCCCCCGGCAGCGGGGCTGATTCCACCTCGTTCCCAGAGCAGGGGGTGCACAGGTTGGGGCTGAACGCCAGGACCCGGCTCAGGGCCCTTTGTGGGCGTTAAAGCCCGGACGCCGGCTCCACCAGAGCCCGGCTGGCATTCGCACAGCGAGCGTGGTGAGATGAGCGTCGGCATCTCGGTGTTGAGCGGTCCTCCCGGTGCCGGGAGCGGGCCCTGCCTCCCTGGCGTGGTGCGAGGGGAGGCTCCTCTCCCATTCCACTCACACCAACACCATGCCGAGCCTGGTCCGACTGACGAGTCACAACCGAGCGGCGCCCCGCTGCCGACAGCTCGGCTGATGTCTGGACTCCAGCTGGACTCCGGCTTTTTCCGCAGGGCTCGGCACAGCCCCAGCTCTCCGCCGGGGTCCCTGAACTCTGCTTTTCTCTTTCAGGTAAGATAATTGCGGCTGGACGTCGGGTTCCCGTGCCGTGCGCGTCTGACTGTGCTGGGCTTCAAAGCACACCCGTTTCACCTAACGAATCGGTCCCTAATGGACGCACGAGCTTCTTCGTAGCGTAGTCAGAAGTAGCTGATCCCCCTTCCCAGGCCCCACTTTACATTCAGTCTTTCAGGATTTGCTTTCTCGCCTCCCCGTGCCACTCTCCAGCCCCTAGCTGGTCTAGGCTCAGGTTCAGCGCGAGCGTAGCCGTAGCACGAGCTTTGCTTCCCTGTTCCCCTGGCGGCGTGCGTGGAGCTGCTGTTCCCCCTCTTGCAGCCTGGGCTGTAGCTTCTTTTGGTTCGGTTTTGGTTTGTTGGGGGTTTTTTTTCTTATTTTTTTTTTAAGGACGTGCGTGTTTTTTTAAAGATGGTCAGTCTTACCGTTGTGGTACTTAGTGATCCCAACTGCGCTGCGCCGAGCCCGGCGTCACGCCTGGAGCCCAACCTGCGGCTCTGCCTCGGCCTTGAGCTCCCACCCCTCCCTCCCTCCCTCCCTCCGACCGCTCTTTCCAGTCAAATAAACTCTTTCAACGAACCTCTTAACGAACCCAGGCCTGTGTCTCCTGCGCGGGCGCTTCCCCTTCCCCTGCACTCACCACCGTCATGCTGCAAACGAAGGGACCGCCGAGGCAGCAGCTCCGCCTTACAGCCCCACTCTAACACCGCCCTCATCCTGATGCCAGGCTAATTAATGGGGCTGGCTCGTTAAGGACCCTACAGACCCCCCCGCCTTTCCCCTTGGCCTTGCCGGCCCATTACTCAATGCAATTAAATGCTTTTTGGGGCCGAGGTCTGGGCTCACCGCCTTTTACATCCTGACCCTGTGGCCCCGTGCTCCTGTTGTTCTGGGGAAGCCCCTCATCCCCCAGCCCGAATTCTGGGGGTCGTGGCATTGCCCAGCAGCTCTCACCTGCTCCCCTGGCTGTCTCCTACAGCTATAGCTGCCTCTCCTATGATCTTCTCACATCTCCTTTCCAGCACCTCCCTGGGTACAGCGATGACTTCCTTGGCCTCTTTTCCAGCGCTGCCACTCAGCTCATTCCTACCAGCATACCTCTGGCTGTGGCTGCGCTCCTCCTGCTCTACCTCAAAGCTGTTCCTGCTGCTCCTCGGGACCCTCTTGCTGCCACCAGCCTGGAAAACGAGGGGGAGAATTGTTAGGGTGCTCGTTACCTCCTGTGCTGTGCTGGTTAACAAATCCTCGCCAATGAGGCAGGCAGGGGGTGAGGCTCCTGCAACCACTGCGCCCACCCAACAGCAACCTGGGCTGGGCGTACCCCAACCAGCTGTACTGCTGCCCTGTAAGCCTGTATTTCTACTCCAACTGGCTGCATGGTTGTCCTGTCAGGCTGTCTTTCTACCCCAGCAGACTATACTGTTGCTCTGTCAGGCTGTATTTTTGCCCAGTAGGGCTGTAGTTTTTCAGGCTGTACTTCTTCACTCACATGCGAGCCGCCATCCTCACCCTGCAATAAAAGCAAAGCAAGTGGTGATGGTGTCAGAGAACAGCCGCAGAGGACGCGCTGCGTTCTGCAGCTCAGGGAAGACAAGGGACAAAAAATGCTTTTGTAAGGTTTTATAGTTGAATTCCAGCAGTGAGGAGGAGCCCCGCTCGGCCTCAGCGACACGGTGAGCGCACCGTAGGGACGGGCACTGCTCACCCCGGGGCAGTCGAGCTGATTCCGTGTCACACTGAGGAGCTGCTTGGATAAAACCAAAGCGCTGTCTGCAAAGAACAGATGACATTTCACTTAGTGAATTCCCAGAGAAAAAACACACGCTGGCTGAAGGGAAAACCTGCAGGCAGAAGTGTTTGGATTAGGAACAGAGCGCCGGCAGTCCCACATCCACCATCTCCTCTCCAAAGCTGCTTCTGCAACCCAAACGTGCAGGGAGCAGGCGGAGGTGTGTTGGTGTACATCCACCACGTACTGCCATACCAACGTACAGTCGTCCTGGCGCACACCGCTTCTTCCCCATCGCCTAAAAGAAGGGGTCGGGTCAGAACTGCCCTGAACGGGGAAAGAAAAACAGCAGACGAGGGTTTCTAAACTGAGAACAGCCCAGCGGTTTATTTACAGTCGTACAAAACGTCACTTGGCGCTGCAGGGTCGAGTCCGACGCCGTGCCTGGATTGAACGCAACGCTAAGAAGGTGTGGGGGGAACGGAGGGGCCGCGTTCGGCACCGATGGCTTGGGCTGCAAACGAAGCTGTGCGGTGCCGACAGCCACAGCGCGACACGCGGCGCTACAGGCAGGCCGTGCCCACGCTCCTCCCGGCACACCGCGGGAGCTGCTCAAACCGTGAATGAAAAACCTTCTAAAAACTCAAAAACAACGAAAAGGTGGCTAAAAAACAAAAATAAACAACCCAAAAACAACCGTCCGTGCCCTCGGAGGGGGCCGCGAGAAGGGGGGATCCGGCGCAAGCCGGGGGGCGGCTCGGGGCGCGCTACAGGCGGCGCTGGTAGCCCGAGTGCACGCGGGCCGCGGGCAGGTAATCGCCATAGCCACCCGAGTAGCGGGCGTAATCGGCGTGCGCGTCTGGCAGGCGGCGGTAATCCATCGGGGACTTTGTTGGTGAGCGGCGGTACGCGAGCGGGGAGTCCGCTAAGCGGCGGTAATCTGAGAGCTCAGAGAGACGGCGGTCTGAATTGTACCTGGGCGAGAGAAGAGAGACGTGGTGTGAAGGCGGAGCGGCGGTGCGGGCACCCTGGGTTGTGGCGCAGCGCGGGGACCCGGGGAGCGCTCGGTGAACAAGCGAAGCCGAACTCGTCCCCCGCCCCGTTCTGGGGGAGAACCGTGAGCCCGCGGCGTCGCGCACGGCACCGCCGCAACCCGGCACCGACGGCTGTCGCGGCACGGAGCGACGCAGCAGATGGACAGACGGACAGCTGGCCCGTCCCCAGGCACCGAAAGCCCCCCGGTATCCAGCACAGAGAAGCGAGGGGAGGGAGGAGGGGAAGAAGACGCTGCCGCAGGTGGGCTACGCGCGAGCCGCCGGCCGGGCTCCATACCTTTTTGCCAGAGCGGAGGATTTTTTGTACGGATCGTCATAGCCGGCACTGCGAGGCGGGGAGAGGCGGGTGCGCTCGTAGGGTGGTGCGACGGCGGCGGCGGCGGCCTGCGAGAGGCCCAGGTAGGAGGCAGCCTGCTGCCCCAGCTGGCTCGGCCCGTCGTAGGCGCTGCCCGGCTGGGCTCTGTAGGCGGCCACCAGCGACGCGGAGGAGGCCTGCTGCGCCGGGTAGGAGGCCGCCATCGAGTTGGAGGCCTGGGCTCGGTAGGCCGCCGTCAGCGGGACGGAAGCCTGTGCCTTGTAGGAGGCAGCGGCCTGGCTGCCGTAGGAGGCGGCCAGCGAGGAGGCTGCCGGTGCGCCGTAGGTGGCGGACAGCGCGGCGGCCTGGCTGCCGTAGGAGGCGGGCAGGTTGGCGGCGGGCTGAGCGCCGTAGGACGCCGAGTGGCCGGCGGTCGGCTGGGCACCATAGGAGGCCGAGAGCGCGGCGGCCACCGGCTGGGCACCGTAGGAGGCCGAGTGGCCGGCCACTGGCTGGGCACCATAGGCGGTGGCGTGACCAGCTACCGGCTGCGCACCATAGGAGCTTGCGTGAGCCGCCACCGGCTGGGCACCGTAGGAGGCGGGGAGTGCGGTGCCAGGCTGAGCGCCGTAGGAGGCGGCATGGCCGTCAACGGGCTGCACACCATAGCCGGTGGGCTGCGTGCCGTAGGAGGCCACGTGCGTGGCTACCGACTGCACGCTGTAGGAGGCGGTGGGGCCGGCGGCGGCCTGCACACCATAGGCGGCGGCAGCAGCCTGGGCGCCATAGGCGGCGGAGTAGCCGGAGGCAGCCTGCGCCCCATAGGAGGAGGCGAGGGTCGAGGACTGCAGGCCGTAGCCGGAGAGCTGGGAGGCGGCGGGCTGCGCGCCATACGAGGCAGCAGCGGGCTGGGCGCCGTAGGAGGCGAGGGAGCCGGCGGCGGGCTGCGAGGCGCCCAGGGAGACGGCGGCCTGCGAGCGGTACGCGGCGCCCAGCGAGGCCGAGGGCTGCGCGCGGTAGGCAGCGGCCTGACCGGTGGTGGGCTGCGGGCGGTAGGCCACGCCCAGAGAGGCTGAGGGCTGGGCGCGGTAGGCAGCCCCCAGCGAGGCTGAGGGCTGGGCACGGTAAGCGGCCGGTTGCGCCGTCACCGGGAGCGTGGCCGCCGAGTAGCCGGCCCGGCTCGGGGAGCGCCGCAGAGGGCTGCGGTCCCGGCCGAAGTAGGTGGGGGACGAGGGCCGGGGCTGCGCGTCGAAGCCGTCGTACTTGGCGGCTGTGCCGAAGCGCTGCTGGTAATCGTACAGGGAGGAGGAGGAGGTGGCAGCGTAGCCGGCGGCGGCTGAGGGGAAGGCAGAGTCCGTGAGCCGGCGCTGCTCGAAGCCCTCAATCTTGGGCTGGAACTTCTCCCTGTACTCCAGGCCTATCCGCTTGTTCTTGTCCACCACGACGCCGGCCGGCACGGCCAGACCCGCTCCCTTTTTCTGCACATTGGTCGAGAGCTCCACATTGACTCTTCTTCCTTTCACCTCCTTCCCATTAAGATTTTCGATGGCAACTTTTGCATCTGCTTCGTTCTCCATGTGAACAAATGCATAGTCTGATAAAGCAGCAGACAGAGGGTTATCAGTGGGGGAGAAAAGACATTTCGTTACAGGCTTGAAGGCTTAACGAGGCGCGCCGCCCGGCTCTACCCTACGCACTCGGTAACGAACGATGGCGGCCCCATGACCTCAGCTCCAGCCGCGCTCCAGACCCCCCCACGGTGCCCCTTTGCGAGATCCCAGGCTCACAAACCCCCCCAGGCCCCCAAAGCTCGGGGGCAGCACTGCCGGCTCTCAGGGAAGCTCCGAGCTCCCGCTCAGACAGAAAGCTTTGAGGCCGTTCATTAACATCGTTAGGTTAAACGATGGAGCTCAGGCCGTGCGCCCTGTGATGCTCCCAGCCCTGTCGTGCCCTCACACACCACCGTGCTCTGCGCCCCCCCTCCCCCCGTGCAAGCAAGGAGGGAGCAGGGCTGGCGCAGGGTGAAGACGCTGAGCAAACGAGCAGCGCGGTAACGAGAGTCGTTAACGAAGCAGAGACGTCAGACAGGAGTTAGAAGCGGGGCGAAGGGACGCGGTGATGGGGGGGAGCGGTGAGGTGGGCTCTGACCCCGCGCCACGACGGGTCTGGGCTTCTCAGCGCCATCCCCGAGCCCAGGAGCCAAACAGCACACAGTCAGAGAGCGGCGGGGACGGCGCGGCCAACGCGTGCAGCCCAAACCAAGGGCCGCTGAGCACCAACGCGGTGACCACGCTCATTAGCTCACTCATTAGCTCGCTCATTAGCTCGTCCCGCTCCTTCCTGCACAATGAGTGCCTCAAAGCAGCGCGCGATCCCACAGAGGTGGCATCGACAGCCCCAAAAGTTCAGAAGTCCCAAATCTGCGCTCCCCGCTCTCCCCTTCCTCTGCCGCAAAGACCCCCTCAGCAGCCCCCAAAATGCATCCCCACTCGGCGGTGCAGCTGCGGCTGTGGGAGCAGCTCCTGCACTGCAGCCTCTGTGTCCGCGCTGGGGACGGGGGCTCCTGTGATGGCAGAGAGTGGAGGAAAGCGCCTTACGCCAATTAACAGCGGGTAATCAGAGGCTTCAGAGCTCCCATTGCAGCTCGTAGGGGAGCAGCTCGCTCCGTGTCCACGTTGGAATGGGTTTAAGCGTACAAATGGGGGAAAAAAAGGGAGAAAGCCCCTGACAGCACGGCAAAAAGGGAAGGAAAGCGCCGAACATCAATTAACACAGAATAATCAACCACAGCCATCAAACCTCCCACTGCAGCTCACGGAGGAGCAGCTCATTTACACCCAGATCGGATTGAGGCGTACGAATGGCGGCAAAGAGCGGAGGAAAGCACCTTGTAGCAATTAGTGCACGGAAATGATTGACTTCCAGCGTCCTGTTGCAGCTCACGGGGGAGCAGCTCCTACAGCGCACCCTGCACAACTGCTCTGGAGCAGATTTAGGTGTAGAAATGGCAGCAAAGAGTGAGGAAACCACCTTATATCAATTAATACGAGGGAATTATAGGTTTCCAGCCTTTCACTGCACCTCATCGGGATGCAAGCTCGCTCCGTGTCCACACTGGAGCAGATTTAGGTGTCTGAATGGGGGCAAAAAGCACAGCAAGTGCATTAAACTGTGGCAAAGAGTAGGAAAATCACCTTATACCAACTAATAGTGGGAAATTAGAGGCTTCCAGCCTTGCACTGCAGCTCACAGTGGAGCAGCTCGCTCTGCTCGGAGTCCGTCTATGTATAGGAATGGTGGCAAAGAGCAAGG